GTAAAATATTACCTTAAGCTTGGAATTGAATTAACTCAATTTAATTTGACAGTTTCTTACATACTTCAATAACATCTTATTTATGTTTTTATGCATTTGTATTTATGTTTCCTTTCCAACCTGTTGAATATGTACTTTATAATCTCTGCAGACACAAATCAAACAAATCACTGAATAAACAAACCAGCAGCTCTCACTCATCCTCCTCTTCTCTCTTCTGCATCTCCCTCTCTTTTCTTCACGTTTTTCAGAGCTTCTCCTCCTCTACCCCCTCCAAACACCAAAGCAACATTTCTTTCCCGTACATTTGTGCCAAATGTATCTTTCATCACGCTTCCTCCTGTTTCTGCCTCTTAGCTGCGATTGGATGAAACCCAGGAAGCGGAGTACAAGGTGCTACGGATGCAGCTGCAGCAGGAGCTGGAGCTGCTCAACGCCTACCAGAGCAAGATCAAGATCCACACGGACACGCAGCACGAGAGGGAGGTCAAGGACCTGGAGCAGAGGGTGTCCATCCGCCGCGCCCTGCTGGAGCAGAGGGTCAGACACAGAAAATCTCCTTATTGTGTTGTGCAAGAATTTGGTGAGTTTTAGGAATTCATTCAGGCAGACGGAGAAGACAAGAAGCTGGAGGACGTAAGGTCACAGAGGACTGTGGATGTTGACATCCTGCTGTCCTCTGTTTAGTCGTGTAGAACCTTTAATGATCTCTGTGACGTGCTGTTCTGGAGCTTTCTGCCATTTCGCATGATCTTCTTTTGCACATGGAGTCAAACTTAAAGGACCCATCGTCCTTGTTAGCTTAAAAATAAGACTGAAAATTAATTCATGGCCAAACTAATCCCAGCATAAGGTCGACTCAGTAAATGTCCCAGAGAAAGAAAAAGTGGAAATGAATGTACATTTCAATGACAACAAGGCAGCTCTGTAAGCTAAGACCATGTGGTACGATCAAAAGCTCCAGAACGGCTGCTTCAGTTGCAGAATGAACTTTCAGTCTGAAGTGTGACAGTAAAGTGACATGGCGTTCTCTTGCTCTTCTCTTCTAGATCGAGGAGGAGATGTTGTCCCTGCAGAACGAGCGCTCCGAACGCATCCGCACCCTCCTTGAGCGTCAGGCCAGCGAGATCGAGTCCTTCGACTCAGAGAGCCTGCGTCTGGGATTCAGCAACATGGCACTGACGGGCATCCCCAGTGAGGCCTACCCCAAGCAGGCCTACCCCAACGCCCCGCCCTCCAGCTCCCGCTCCGCCGGCCACTGGAGCCACGGCATCCACCCGCAGAACATGCCCCCGCAGCAGCACTCCCGCCGCAGCCACAACAGCAGCAGCAGCAGCGGCATAAGTAGCGGCAGCGGGGCCGGGGACCGCAGGAGCGAGTCCTCCTCTTCCTCCCATGGCCTGGCCATGGCCCTGGGGCTTGGCAGGGACGGGAGGGAGGTGCACCACTCGTCCCGCTCATCTGCCTCCTCTTCTTCCTCTTCCTCCTCGTCTTCCTCCCACCACCAGCGCCACCACCTGCCCCAGCACTACCACCACCAGAGCACGCCGCAGCTGTACCGCGAGCGGGAGCGGGATCGAGATAGGGAGCGGGAGAAGGAGAGGGAGCGGGAGTGGGCCGGGGTGCGAGGCTCCGGCGGGGACCTGGCCCACCCACACCCCCTGCCCTTCTCCCATCACCTGCCCTCACGCTCCTCCTCTCAGTCCCTGGCCATGCTACCTCCGCCACCGCCTGCCCCTCCCTCCATCTCTGGCCCGTCCTCCTCTTCCTCTTCCTCCTCCTCCTCACAGGGGGGGATATACGGGGGCGGGGGGCTGGCAGTGCGTGGTGCCCCGAGTCTGATGGCCCTGAGGAATAGCCCTCAGCCTCTGAGGAGGACGGCGTCCGGCGGGGGGCCCGGTGGCTCCGGGGGCAGCGACGGCGTCCTGAGCCGAAGCACCTCGGTCACATCTCACATCTCTAACGGCTCCCACCTCTCCTACTCTTAGACGGCAGGAGGACGAGAATGGACGGGGTGGTAGCAGCGAGGGAGGAGGTGATTTAGGAAGGTAGCTATCACAGGTTGCATCTCAATACTCTCAGCTTGCCGTCTTGTCTTGTGTTCTTTCTTGGAAGCATCTCAACTCTCAGTGGGGCTGAAATGCAGAGGATTTTGGGAAATCACCCTCTCCTCTTTGTGCACGGGAAGGCAAAGAAATGTGAGGTCAAACTGACATTATTGAGCTGCACCCTGCGTCTTTAGACTCAGGGTGGGTCGAGAGGTTTCCTCCCATTCTCACAGGTGTAAAAGAGGGAGGGAGGAATGTAACCACCTGTTAAACCACTGGATCGAGGCGATGTTAGATTTTAACAAAGCGGAGGTTTGTGTTTAATGTTTTTATCTTTGTTATAGCCTGTATAAAAGTGAGATAGGAACGTGTGAACGGAGAAGACGTTTAGCCTTTTTTTTCCTCCCAGAGCTGCAGAGAGAAAGGGGACGGCAGCCATGTCTTCTTCTATGATGTTCTGTGCTGGAATGGAGAAAGAGAGAGGACAGGGGGGAAGTTTTACAAAAAAAAGGGATAATGATGTTTCTTTTGCATTGTGTCTGTACTTGTAGTCTGTAGTGTCCAGATATTATCTAGAAAGCACTCGCAACTTGGGCTCCAGAGGGGGAAACAAAGGGGAGAATCAGAAAAGATGGAAAACTTTAATCTTCAGCCTGATGGAGACTGGAAAACACTTTTTATTGATTTACAACTGTTGATGTTTTTGTTGTTTTTTCTCTCTCTTTTTTTTTAGTAAGTGTATAAAAAACACAAAAAACAAGTTGCTTGGAACGTCACCAATGCCTTTAAGGGGTTCTTAAAGGGATGTCGCGCCATCAGAATTTTTATTTGACAACCGCAGGATGATGTAAAACCGTTAAATACGATTAACACAGAATGTTTGTGAAGGCGAGAGACTCTAAAGTGCAGCTGGGACAACGAGAAACATTTGTGAGGATGTACACATACAAAAATAGAGAAGAAGAAGAAAAAAAAAGCTTTCTGGCATCCGTGACATATTGAGTATCTAAACAACATAGGTGTCTCACTCCGATGCATGAGATAGATGTACAAAAAAAACAAAAAAACATTTGTAAACATGACCAAACACATTTGAAATGTACCGTACCTGTCCAAGTTTCACCGGCATCGAAGATCACTTGTCCCACATTTTTGATCTTTACTGTACATATTTATGGGAATATTAAAAAACAAAAAAACACGTCATTTGGTTTTATAGAGTAACAAAGATAACAATAGTAATTTTGATATATTCAAATGAGTATTGACTTCAAGATTTAGAGCGACAACTCCAACCGCATTTTCTATAGGTGTCAATATTACCATAACTAATCCTGATGTAATTGTTGTTGTAATCATGTTCACATTTTTCTTGTGAGAAGCAAAGGGCCCACTTTTGACTGTAAAAAGAAAAAATAGACGACAAAAAAACCTGTTGCGTTGTCAGGTACGGTGTGTGTTCAAGGTATTAATGATTATTAATAATAATAAGGGTTATTAATAATTGTTAATGATTTATGTGTGTGTGTGTGTGTCGAGCGGTAAAGTCTAGTTATATTACCACTTTTTTTAGACGATTGAATTTTAAAAGACACTCCTACACCCCACAGCTCACATGAACTCTGACCTCCTCCTCCTCTGGACTCTTATAGACAAAAAAAAAGATTTTACAATTGGCCACAGGAATGTAAACGCTGGTTTTTACTTTTTTATTTGATTGTTTTCGGTTCAGGAAAAAGTGATGCTCTGAAAAGCAGGACTGGGAAGAGGATGAGAGAGCGGACAATCTGTGTTGACCCCTGCAGGGTGCAGCATGCAGGAAGTGTGTGAGGAACAGGAAGTGAGGGGACGGGCGTGACTGAGCGGCTGCAAACGTGCACCCTCTTGTGCCGGAGCAGCAGCAGTGACCGGAGCGGCTCGTCCTCCTCACACGAGAAGAAAGCCCAATCAGTGATCCACGAGCAGAGAACAGGCCCAACGCTTTGCTCTCTGCTCCTGTGGGCTGACATTTATTTGAAGGAGATCACAAACAAGTGGACACTTTTTGTTTATTTGTCTGTTTTTACTATTATTATTGTTTTGAGGAAAAAAAAGAAAAAATGATAATCACCCTGCTGTTTGTATGACTCAGAAACACCAGCTCAAGACAATTCCCTGTATAACCTACTACTTTATGCTTGGTTGGAATCTCAGTGCATGCATAAACTCCTTATATAAACTAAGACTGGCTGCTTCGGGGCGGCCTCCGTGTTGGGGAAATCAGTGTGGTAGTGTCTGTAGACGGGTCAGTGTCGGTGTCAGAGGCTCTTGGGGGGGGCAGGGAGCCTCAGTTCCTGTGTCGGACGATGAAGACGATGAAGATGATGAAGCAGCAAAAGCAACACAGCCTCATCTGTGACTTGCAGAGTTTGTTTTTGTTTTTGTTTTTTTCTTTGAGGTGGGTGGTGGTGGGCGGGAGGGGGGGAGGTGGGGGGGTGAAATCCTTATAATTAAATATTCAAATCAAGCGATTCCAAGCTTGAGAAGGAGGAAGGGTCTTGACACGTGTATTGGAAAAGAAGTG